AACGCGAAGGAGCTTGGGATTGAACCCACGGTCTTCTGCTCAGTAAGCAAAAACGTTTGCTACTAGGCAAACGAGCTCCTTTTTAATCATCGAGTTGCTGTTATTACCATGTAGTCATATTAACAAATAAAACGATTGACGAATCTTGATGTGGATGGGCTTGAGATTAGACTCAAGATGTTCTGCTCAGTAAGCAAAAACGGTTGCTCTAAGGCCACCGAGCCCCTCATATCACATCATACCGTTACTCAAGTTGTTATAACTATTCAAACCCGGCACCGACGACAACGAAAGGTTTAGCAAAATACACGATAAACAAGCGATCTTACCATACATTTTTAATATGAAAGGACCTGGGACCGCGTTTTTCTTCAGGGAAAATTTGTAATTTAAGAAAAAGTTCCATGAGCATTTATAAAGATTATAAAACTTATGCAAAATTGCGGAAACTTCAAGGCAATTCAATTACTTTCAGTAAAATTGCGGGTTCCTGTAAACAATACTGGGAAACTCAGTGAAATCTAGCGAACTTTAAGGAAAATCAAAAATCCTTTGGGCAGCTTTAATAACATCTGGAAAGCGGTTTGATTCCAAGAAGACTGTGGAAGCTTAAAGAAATTTCAGAAAAAAAAACATCGGCAACTGAAGATCTATTGAAACATTTCGATAAATTCATAGAAGTCAATGGAACTTAAGGATCTGAGAACTTCAGGAACTTTCATTAACATTAGAAAAAAGCGGGAGCATTTCAAAGAAGTTTCACAAGCTCCAAACATAGGGGGAGTTCATTTCCATTAGTTTCAGAAAATTATCAGGAAATTTTAAGAAGCTCTCAAATTTTCAGAGAACTTCAGAGAAATTGTTGAGGTCTTCGCAGAAGTTCAGAAGTTCTCGGAAGCTCAAACATATTTATGACAATTTAATTAAATTTAGAGCAGTACAACAAGCTTCATGAGAACTGAAAGAAACTTAAGAGAAGTTTGGAGAACTTCAGGAAAAAACAGAGAACCTCAGAGCAGTTCCGTTAACATTAGAGAAATTACATAAGTTTTAAAGAAGTTTCGAGAACTTCAGCGAATTGTTCAAACTTTAGAAAAGATCCATGATCTTTAGGAAAATTGAGGAAACTTTAGGAAGTCTGAAAAAGTTCCGGAAAGTTTAAAAATTTGATGAGAAGTACTGTGAGCATCAGGCAAGTTTCATAAACTATAAAAGAATTTCACTTCAAGGCAGTTTCGTTATCTTCAGGAACATTTTGGGAACTTTAAAGTAATTCATAAGACCTCAGAATAGTCCAGTCAACTGAGATTTCTCATTAAAATTCACTTCGAGTTCTCATCAGCATTCGCTTTATATGGATATGATAATGGTGATTATAAGAAACTACCACTCAACAACTGTGGACTGTCCTCGCTGTTCAACTTGATCAAGTTTAATAACCTCTAATTGTACTCAAGCTGCCATTCCGAGGCTCAGTAGCTTAGTTGTTACCGTTTCTTCTGAGCAGAAGGACGGGAGTTCAATCCCAGGCCCGTCCGCTTGATTGCAATTTTTCGCTATGCCACTAGATTTTAAATAAAAAATAACACCGATCGCCTCACTTACCACAGTGAAGCCTGATCTAAAAATAACACCATCCACTAACACAACTATGCTTCTCGTGGCAATTGTGGAAGAAGCAGAGGTAAACTCGGTCTCTAGTAGCAACGATTGTCGAACTAATCATCCTTCTCCTTCTTAAAGACCGTGAGGACGTGGCCGGCGTCGGTACTGATCTATAAATAGACTGAATCATTAAACGATTGACATTGACGATGGATATCTAATAAAAAAAAAACTCCATCTACACTGATAGGCAAAATAAAGTGCCCACCCCATCATTTTTTGAATTTCTCTCATTTATTTGGTTCAAATTAAAGTAAATACACTGTAGTATTTTTTATATCTTATTCTTTATATTCTTTTTAAGTTTCACTTATAGAATACCAGATAAAAAGAAGAGACTGACTCGAAGAAAAAAAAATCAAAATGGGTGTAAAAAAGAACAGTGACAAAAAAAAGTGCCCACTGCATTTTAACTCCAGAAAACATAAAATAAAGTAAAAGAATACCAGCCTAATAGTTAATGTGTCCTCCTTTGGCCTTCAGGACCAGCTGCAGGCGCTTCGGCATGCTCTCCACTAGATTCTTCAGGTGCTGTGGATCTAGTTCTTCCCAGGCGCGCTCCAGGGCTTCAAAATAGTTATTTTTATTGGTAACACCAGTTTTGTCAACCCTGGCATCGAGAATCGCCCACAAATTCTCGATGGGGTTGAGGTCCGGGCTTTGTGGAGGCCATTCCAGTGGTTTAATTCGACATGACCGGAAGAAAGACTTAGTCTTCTTGGCAGTATGCTTCGGATCGTTGTCCTGCTGGAATACGAATTTCTCCTCAAGGCCCGTCTGGATCAGCGAAACTTCCAGATTTTCCCGCAGGATGTCGATGTAGGAATCTGCCGTCATTATCCCGTCGATTTTCACCAGGCTTCCCACTCCACCCCACGAAAAGCACCCCCAGACCATCACATTTCCTCCTCCATGCTTCACCGTGCCTTGTATGTGGCGCTCCTGAAGCTCCTCACCCGATCTACACCACACACGAACCCGTCGCTTCCGGTTGAACAGTTCGAATTTTGATTCGTCCGTCAAGAGAACCGTTGTCCAGAACTCTAGGGGCTTATCAGCATGCTCCTTAGCAAACTTAAGCCGTTTGACTTTGTTTGCCTTGCTGATAAATGGGCGCTTCCGAGCAACTTTGCTGTTCAACCCCTGTGCTACGAGACGGCGACGAACAGTTCGACTGGAAACTGTTAGCTGAAGAGCCTCCTGGATCTCGCGGACAGTTACCTTCGGGTTCTTCTTCACTTCACGCATGATCTTGGTGTCCGTTCTCGCATCCGTTTTGCGCATCCTGCCTCTGCCAGGGCGATCCACCACTGATCCGAACGATTTCATTTTCTGCAGAATTTTCCCGACCGCTGTTTTGCTGATATTGTACTTCCTAGCGACAGACCGGTGCGATTCACCGTTTTGCACATCACGAACAACCAATTTTCGGATACACACGGGAATTGCTTTCGAAATCACTACGTCCTCCATTTTTTTCAACTGATTCAAATGCGATCACGTGTACAAATGCACCAGTTCCACCCGTTTGCTTCAATACATGTCAAACTTTCAAAACAAAAACAATCGAGGGGTTTTCCGATGGAAACTTATCGAAAACATACCGATTTTTGAAGTGGGCACTTTTTTTTGTCACTGTTTTCTTTTTCAATCCAAATTGATTTTCTTTTACTTCAAGTAAAACTTTATATTTTCAGTATTCCATAGGTGTAACTTTAAAAGAATAATAAAGGTAAGACATCGAAACAGACTACGGTGTGTTTATTTGAATTTGAACCAAATAAATGAGAGAAATTTCAAAAATGATGGGGTGGGCACTTTATTTTGCCTATCAGTGTATGTGGTTCTCTGTAAAATTTCACTGGTTCTGATCAGTAACGGAGTAGCAACTACGACGTGCACGGTCACATGCACATGCTCTAATTGTACTCAATGTGCCATTGTATGAAGGGCAAAAAATGGGTTGGGTAGATCCGTGGGCAACATCACCCATCCACGGGATAGTTGAGAATCGCCTTCCAACAACAGGATCAAGAAACAAGCCATCCAACAGGAGGATTCCCCAATAAGTGGGGAGAAGAGCTCGCTCTCTATTCACGAAATGTTAAAGATATGGAGTTGACATTTCCACTCTCCCCATCCATTTCGCTTCAATTGAGTGCCCTGGTGGACCCTCCTGAACCCAGCATTTAGTGGTTCGTATAATGATGGGATGAAGTTAAGTTAAGACAAAAATATAGAAACGATTTTAAATTGGTTAACTAGCCTATTGGTCCCAAGCAAATCGATTAACGTACCCCATTCTAGTCGAAATTCTAGTACTACACTATGTTTGTTTTCATTCGTTATGAAAGTTTGACAGATAAAATGAGGGGTTCATGGATTTTCCTATGTTTCGAGGGGTGCATCGATTAGCTTGGGACCGTAGAGAGTACCAGAGCTGAGCCAAAAAGTTGAGCACGTTTCTTCGGGACGGATCACATCTCTATAATTATCATGACAAGTAACGGTGACACCCGTTTGTTTATAAGAAAGGAACATAGCGAAATCTCGACCTACAATACAAAAAGGCGAATAAGCTTGTGTAATCAAAGGTGAGCTTCGGTATGCGAGATAAGGTTATTACAATTTGTTTGATCCGCCCTTCTGTATTGTTGGTCGAGCTCGAAAATCTTTGTTCTAAAACAAATCTATAGATAGAGCTGGAAGTAGTGCGTAACAGCTTTTGTAAACAATGACTTCTCTCGGAATTCAAGGCACGCCCACACAAACCAACAACCATCATGTAAAGGAAGTCTTCTAGAAATATTAAAAAAAAAGAGGAACTGCTTTCATCTTTGCCTTGGGTATAGTCGCTTCGAGATCACGGACTACGATTTGGACAACCCTGGCATCCGGTGAAGATTCGCTTCCAGAGTTGGAACTTGAAGCTTGAAGGATTTTGTAACAATCACAAAACAGGTGCTCAGGAAGTGACAGTTCAAATCACGCTACACACTAAAAATAATATCAGCATAATGCTCGATAATTCTAACACATTCAAGATTATCGATGAATAGTGGATGAAATCGGATAATATCGATAGGCGCGCGTTAATTCATAACGAATCGAATTCATCCAAAACAAATTGGAGAAAATTAAGCAAATTTGATTGAAATTCGTTAAAAGAAATGCTTACTTTCGTCCCCCTCGCATGGTGCGCAGATTAGCGGGGTTCAAATTAAAATTGGCTATATTACCGGGGGTCCAAGGTATTACAATCTCACGTCCAATAATTACGTTCTGCAAAGAAATAAAGCAAATTCCAACATTAATCGAACCACCTCTTCTTCCAGATACGTCGCCACCGGACAGATGATGGTCAACGGTTTCCTCCAGTCACAGAACTATCCCAAGCAGGCCCTGCTGGACATCAACCGGCCCAGCGAAAGTATCTCCAACCTGATCGACCACATCGCCAAGAAACACCTGCAGGTCAAGATCACCTCGGTGACCTACGTCAAACCGGCCGTCAACTACGTGAAGGATCTGCTGAAACTGGGCAAAGCCAAACAATTCCTCCAGCAGTACAACGTCACCGAAATGACTGACAAGCTGACCGATACGTTCAACCTGGAGGTAAGAACCGTCTGACGAGTGCCAATTTGCGAACGTACTCATAATAATTACGGTGCTGTTCTCCTTTCCTTTCCATTCCTGGTTTCTGTTTTTTTTCACATAGGTAATTGAACCGGTGCTGAAAGTTCATCGCGCTTACCGGCAAGCAATCCAGACGCCCCACTGTGATAAGTACATTCTGTGCGAAATCAATTCGCATGATCCGAACGAAAAGCGTGCATTGGGAGGCTTCAAACAGGGCGTGACCCGGTTCGGCAGTATGGCAGCCTCTTGGTTCATCAGTCAGGAAACCGGAACGCCTTTCTGGACGCTGTTTGCCATCATCAACGATCCGCACAACTGTCAGGTGGGTTGATTGAGAGTTATACCCGGATCAGAGTAGTTTAACCATTTTTGATTCGTAATTTCTAGGTTAAGCATCCGGTCGACTGCACGGAATTCCACGAGAACGAACACAAGGTGACCACAGAGTATCCGCACAATGAGCTGTAGAAAAACGGAAGGGTATTTTTTCAGAGTTGTTCATAAAAAAAAATGTGATTGTTACAAGAAAAAGGCAGAAAATCGGGCGATCTCGCGGGAGTTGCAAGCAACGATCGAACACGAAAAGTAAGATAACGGAAAATGGCGGAAACGTCATCGGAGCAGCGCGCATGTTTTGAAATTTACATTTGATCGTAATATGTATGACTATACGAGTAGGTGGTAAGGGAAAACGGGAAACCGAGCGCACTCGGCGCAGTTTAATTGCACAAAACAAAAAAATTGCCTTAAACCATGTCGATTTGCGTAACGGTAGTTAGCTTTTTTTTCTAAGAGGTGTATGAAAAATAAATACTATAGAGAACTAGATATACCAACACAAAAACAATAATGTACATCGATCGAGCATTTTTCAAATTAAATGTGAATTTCAAAAGGCAAGTTCGGCGTGCATTTGGCCGTTCGGATCAGTGAATTGGGCAACTCGGGGATCGCACCCAAAAATAGGAAAAATCTAATAAAAATAAATGAGTTTAAAAATCCATTTCCTGGCTTGAATTTCCTTTATTTATTCATACTGCACTTGCAAAGCAAAAGCACGGCATACAGACGACAAAGATTTCTACTTTGAACAACACAGAGAAAGAGACACGATCGGCAAGTGAGACGATCGAAAACAGACGACAGGGGGTTAACCTAACCTAAAATCCAGCAGAACATAGTCGCTATTTACTTTTTAATGCTCTTACAAACCCAATCCATTCCTTCCTGTGGGAGGTAAGACATGCAACGCGGGAGGTAAGACATGAGAAAGATTCCTGAAATTGAAACAACCGGAATCGTGGAGGCTTACCTTAATACCGGTTCCCTCCAGTGCCGAACAGCCCTGAATCTGCCAGGTGCGATCTTTGAGTTTGATCAGCTTCAGGCACTCGGCTATCTCCGATGCCTTGAGCGATCCGGCGACGTCCTGCTTGTTGGCGAAAATCAGCAGCGGAACGTTTTTCAGTTTGTCATCGAGCAGCAGCTCGGCCAGTTCGTCGCCGGTCTCCTCCAGGCGCTTGCGGTCGCTGGAGTCGATCACGTAAATCTGAAACGGAGCGGAGCGACGATTTGAGTTCAGTTGAATTTGACTTGCTGCAAGTGCCGTCTATCCACCACCATGTCTCCAAAGTCTTTCAACCGATTGAATTGTGTTTTTGTGAGTGTCAAGTTTGTTGTTGACTCTAATCACATACACACAATCAGCTCAATTGGTTGAAAGAATGTTGAGAAATGGCGGTGGGTAGACGGCATCACCCATCGCGTAGTTAGGGGATTTCTGTGTTATTTCTTTACGGCAAAAGCAAAACAGCAAGAAAGGGAACAAACCTATTGATAGGATACTTACCAGAACATCAGTATTTTCGAAATAATTCTTCCAGTAGGGACGAATCTTGCTCTGACCGCCAATGTCCCACACGTTCAGTTTGAAGCCATCGGAAACTACGGATTTGATGTTGAAGCCCGCTGTCGGGGTGACCTGGTGGAATTGATGGGAAAATACGTAATTTGTAGTGTCTTTTTTTGCTATTTGAAGCTATGTTTCGAGTTGAAAAGCAAATAAGGTAACCATAAACTCGCTTTTCTGATGGTGATAGGGTTACTAGAAGTTCAAATTAAAAATGAACCCCGTTAATATGCACGTTGCATGTGTCGTTCAGATTAACGGGGGTTCACGGTAAAGCAAATTATTATAACAATGAGATGATTTTTTTCGTTCGGCATATTTTCATCAATTTCTCGGTAGATATCGAATATTCAGGGGTCATTTGTCCGGAGACCATCATGTTGGATTTCGGTCCACCATCTTAGATTCCAAAATGGCGATGGATGTCAATTTTCCACTTTACTCATCGAGTCCATTTCATGAATACCCCTATTGCATATGTTTAGATGCATATACGCTGTCCGGAGGCCACTATATTGGATTTTGGTCCGCCATCTTGGATTTCAAAATGGCAGCGGATGTCGATTTTCCACTTCTACTCATCGAGGCCATTCCATAGATACCCATATTGCATGGGTTTAGATACATATACGCTGTCCGGAGGCCGCCATATTGGATTTCAAAATGGCAGCGGATGTTGATTTTCCACTTCTCATTGAGCCCATTCCATAGATGCCCATATTGCATGGGTTTAGATGCATATACGCTGTCCAGATGTCGCCATATTGGATTTTGGTCCGCCATTTTGGATTCCAAAATGGCGGCGGGTGTCGATTTTTAACTTCTACTCATCAAGCCCATTCCGTAGATACCCATATTGCATGGAGTTAGATACATATACGCTGTCCGGATGCCGCCATATTGGATTTGGCTCTACCATCTTGGATTCTAGAATGGCGGCGGGTGTCGATTTTCAACTTCTACTCATCAAGCCCATTCCGTAGATACCTATTTTGCATTGGTCCGGATGCCACCATAGTGGATTTTGATCCGCCATCTTAGATTAAAAAATGGCGGCGGATGTCGATTTTCCACTTCTACTCATCGAGTCCATTCCAAAGATACCCATATTGCATGGGTTTAGATGCATATGCGCTGTTCGGATGCCACCATATTGGATTTTGGTCCACCATCTTGGATTCCAAAATGGCGGCGGATGTCGATTTTCAACTTCTACTCATCAAGCCCATTCCGTAGATACCCATATTGCATGGATTTAGATACATATACGCTGTCCGGAGCCCGCCATATTGGATTTGGGTCCACCATCTTGGATTCCAAAATGGCGGCAGAAATCGATTTTCCACTTCTACTCATCGAGCACAGTTCATAGATACCCATATTGTAATGGGTTTAGATGCATATACGCTGTCCGGAGGCCGTCATATTGGATTTTGGCCCGCCATCTTGGATTCCAAAATGGCGGCGCATGTCAATTTTCCACTTCTACTCATCGAGTCCATTCCATAGATACCCATATTGCATAGGTTTAGATGCATATACGCTGTCCGAAGGCTGCCATATTGGATTTCAAAATGGCGGCGGATGTTGATTTTCCACTTCTCATTGAGCCCATTCCATAAATACCCATATTGCATGGGTCTAGATGCATATACGCTGTCCGGATGCCGCCATATTGGATTTTGGTCCGCCATCTTGGATTCCAAAATGGCGGCGGGTGTCGATTTTCAACTTCTACTCATCAAGCCCATTCCGTAGATACCCGTATTGCATGGAGTTAGATACATATACGCTGTCCGGAGGCCGCCATATTGGATTTGGCTCCACCATCTTGGATTCCAAAATGGCGGCGGGTGTCGATTTTCAACTTCTACTCATCAAGCCCATTCCGTAGATACCTACCCAACAAACAATTTGCGTTGATCAACAGCTGAATAAGCAATTTTTTAGCTGAAGAAGCTCGTTTTCGCCTGAATAAGCTCTTATTCCACATTCAATGTTCGTTGGGTATTTTGCATTGGTCCGGATGCCACCATAGTGGATTTTGATCCGCCATCTTAGATTAAAAAATGGCGGCGGATGTCGATTTTCCACTTCTACTCATCAAAGTCCATTCCATAGATACCCATATTGCATAGGTTTAGATGCATATGCGCTGTCCGAAGGCTGCCATATTGGATTTCAAAATGGCGGCGGATGTTGATTTTCCACTTCTTATTGAGCCCATTCCATAGATACCCATATTGCATGAGTCTAGATGCATATACGCTGTCCGGATGCCGCCATATTGGATTTTGGTCCGCCATCTTGGATTCCAAAATGGCGGCGGGTGTCGATTTTCAACTTCTACTCATCAAGCCCATGCCGTAGATACCCATATTGCATGGAGATAGAAACATATACGCTGTCCGGAGGCCGCCATATTGGATTTGGCTCCACCGTCTTGGATTCCAAAATGGCGGCGTGTGTCGATTTTCAACTTCTACTCATCAAGCCCATTCCGTAGATACCTATTTTGCATTGGTCCGGATGCCACCATAGTGGATTTTGATCCGCCATCTTAGATTCAAAAATTGCTTGAAGTTTCTCAAACTTCCATCTGCAAGTCCGCCAAATTTCCCTCTGAAAGTTTTCCGAACACCCTGTGTGAAGTTCTCCAGTTCTCCCAATATAACAGAAGTTCTTCAAACTTCACTTAAAACTCCCCACATGTATCTAGTTCTAGATCTCACCAACAGGCGATCCCAACAAAAAAAAATCAGCCAAGAGTTAACCAATCAATTCCACCTACCTGTGTAACCTCCTCGGAAGCTAACTGCTTGAGAAGTGTCGTTTTGCCGGCATTGTCCAGCCCAAGCAGCAGAATTCTAAGCTCTTTCTCGGGAGCGGATCGCAATTTCCTCAACAGCGATAGCAGTCCCTAATACCGAAACCAAAACAAGAATCAAGAAACACGTGGTCGGTCAGTCAGTTCAGAATCAAAAGCGCGCCCTTTCAGTTGCACCCACTCCCGCGCGCGCTCAGCAGCTTCTCAGTGGGTGCAAGTTAACAAGTGGGTTCGATTATGTCCGGTTCGGTTCGGTTGCCTGGCGACTGTCGCCAAACAAATTACGGGATTTTCGTCGTGAAGATAAGATTGGCTAGCAGTGAATTCCACCCACGACGACTGCTTTAAGGTAGGAAATTTCATTTATTTGGAAAACTTACCATGTTCAGTGTAAAGTTTTGATAATTTTAGCCTAAAAATGTTCTAGTTTTACCAGCGAACGAGAGACAAATTCGTGGAACGAAACCAAAACAGTCCCGCACGCACACCACCCCGACACTTGTTTGACTTTTCTGCTTTGGACTGCGTAGATGGATTCTGAATCGCGCCTGTGCTTTGATAAATTCAAGCAACTGTGAACGTGTCCCAAATTCAAATTGACAGTTCTATCGGCTCGCGAATGTTGCCGACTGTGTGGATTTACGGATTTAATCCGTTCGACCTGGACAGTGACGGAGATTTGAAAGGTAAATTCAAGTTGCTGGATGCCATCCGATTTCCCGAACAAATAGATTCCTTTCAGAGGTTCAACTAAGCACCCATCTCGGCAACGATGATCAACAGGATTTCCTCATTGAACTTACTTCAACCCACGCTCTGGTCGCATGCGGGAGTGCATTAATTTCCCACTCCTGCATTACGGAACAATCGCACAAAATCGACTGCGGAAGCCGAATAGTCCAACTGTCGGCAAACAACTGGCACTGTTTGGTTCTCCTGGAAAGTGGAACCCTACTCAAGTACAACATCTACAAGAACCAAACAAGCCAGCTTGACTTCCTATCCGTGGAAAATGCATCCGAGTCTGAGGAAAGCACGGAGAAAGTCACCCACATAGCTTGTGGGGAAAAAGTATCCGTTGCGGTCACTAGCGAGAAGTCCGTGTTCAATATTCCCAGCAAGACGTTCACCTTTCCGAGGCACGCCCGCATCCGGAAGATTGCGGTCGGGCTGGAACATTGTCTGCTGCTAACCGGCAACGGGGACGTCTATAGTTGGGGCTGTGGATTGTAAGTTCTTAGTTAATCGTTTTCCCAAGGAGTTCTAATTTCAAAGCACATTTTCACTGCAGACGGGGACAGTTGGGCAATGGTGAAATAACACCGCACCAGGAACGGCCACAGCTGATAGAAGCACTGGCCGGGGTCAAAATCATCGACATCGCCGCCGGTGGGTGGCACTCGGCGGCGGTTTCCTCGTTCGGAGACTTGTACTGCTGGGGTTGGAATAGTAAGGGACAGCTTGGGCTGGTGGATGATAAGCAGGTGAGAGGGAGTGTGTTTACTCTACCGCAGTTGATTGAGTTTGATGGAGGCAGTGGCGAAGCACAGGAGGAAGTCTCACTGGAGCGGGTGCACTGTGGCAGTGGTCATACGATAGCGGTAAGTACCGGGGGAACGTTGTACTTTGCCGGCAATGATCTGCGGCAAAAGCTGGATTACGGAAAAGTTGAACGGAATCCAAAGCTTTCCGGATTCCGGAGGTTTGAAAGCTTTCCTAAAGTTGGTGGTGAAACGCTTTTGATAGGTGGGCCTAATTCGATTGCTTTCATTGTCACAGCGGGTAAAGCAAAATCAGTGGGGACATGATGAGAAGTTGCACTATTCAACGGTAGATGTCTTAATTGAAATTGAGTTGTTGCCAGAGCTGGCGGAAGTGGATTGTTGTTTTAGTTTTAGTTTTAAACAATATTTTTTTTTCTGAAATTCTGTTCTTTGTTCTACCGTAAAACATATCCCAATGCCTCTGTGCTGATAATTGATTGATTTGTTTCAATAATTGATAAATTGTTTAATTCTGCTAAAATGCTTTCAAAATGGTCCGCCAGGAAATCTATACTTATGATCCAAACAATCTTATTTTTTGTTTAGAAAAGCTGTTATGATATCTGTGCTAATAATTTATTCATTAAACCCTTCATACATGTTCTTAGTAAAGTGATTAAGGGAGCGTCCATTAATTATGTCACGCAAAATTCGCTAAAGCATAACCTTTTTCAAAGCTTTTTTGGCAATTGTTGTAGCGGAGTGAATCTGCTAGCCCCTCGTTATGGTAACGGTGGATGGTAGCGACAGGAAGTAAGGAAGACAGAGAGTGAATGGCTATCAAAGAGAGAGTACACGTCGGTCTGAAGATTATTAATAAAGCTGAAGTTTGATAAGTCTAATTATCGTAATTTATTCTAATACGGGTCCGAAGTACTACAAGCCTGGCGACGAGGATAAAAAACAGAGCAACGAAATTTAAGGATAAGTCCGGCCACTGGCGGAGGGGTCCTAGAGACCGAGAATCCAAAGGATTTGTGCACGACACGATACAAGAGTCTAAGAGACAAAGTAAATAGAACTTCGAAGTTGAGTCTACGAGACCGGTGTTAAAAAAAAAAAAAAAGCTGGTGTACACGGCACACGGCGAGGTCTACGAGACCGATGATTGACACAGTGACCAAATCGTATGATAAATATTGAAATGGATAAGTGGAACGTCCCTCATTTCAACTTCAAGGTATTGCCTAAGAACCAGATTCGTGACGCATGGAAACGCTACAGGAAGAATTTTGAATATGTTCAGCTCGCGAATCGAGAAGCAAACAAAGTCAGGCTCAAACATATATTCTTGGCTCTTGCCGGCCCTGAAGTACAGGAGGTTTTTGAATCGATTCCGGGAGCAGACGTTGAACCGTGTAGTAGCGTAGATCCGTTCGAGGTTGCGTTAAATAAGCTAGATGAGTTTTTTGCTACAAAGTATCATGATGCTTTCGAACGAAATGTATTTTGGACGTTGAAGCAAGATACAGAAGAACCACAGGAAAAATTCCTTCTTCGTGTAATGGATACCGCAAAACGGTGCAATTTTGGAGCAACGGCACAAAGTCGGGAAATTGGTATCATCGATAAAATGATTTTGTTCTCTCCACCCAAACTGAAAGAGAAGTTACTTTCCGTAGAAAATCTTACCAAAATTATTCAGTCTTATGGGTCGTTGAAATATCAAGTCAGTCAGTTCTCATCTGCAGGACATGATTCCAGAGATGTTCAAAGACCAGGCACTAGCCAGGATGTAAACAAAATTCAACTTTCGCGGTTTCCTGCGGGTGAATGCTATCGGTGCGGACGCACAGGGCATTACGGTAATGATGCAAATTGCCCCGCTAAGAATCAAAAATGCAGCAAGTGTGGAAAGATAGGACATTTCGCACAACGGTGCAAAACTTCCAACCCATCTCGTTCGGTGAAGCGTAGAGCGGAAGGACCACAGGAATGGAAAGGTTCTAAAATACGAGTGGTTAGAGCCGTTGATCATTCAGAGAATCCGACTACGAGCGGTGCGGCAGCAACGAAGCCAGGCAGTTTTATTTACAGCATCGGCGATGGTGAGGAGTTTATCTGGGTGAACCTTGGTGGTGTACAGGTACAGATGCTAATTGATTGTGGCTGTCAAAAGAACATCATCGATAGCATCACATGGCAGAATCTATTGCGGCAAGGAATATCCATCAAGAATTTTCGAGATTCAGACCAAACATTCCATCCCTATGGTAACAATGTTAGCCCGTTAGTGGTACGTGGAATGCTCGAAAGCACCATCTCAATCATGGATGATTCACGCAGAACTGAAAGCGAGGCCACGTTCTACATCATCCAGGGAGGAACACAGCCGTTACTCGGAAGAACTACTGCAGTTGAAATGGGCGTTCTGGTTCTAGGCCTTCCTAGTACTCAGCCAATCGAAGTTAATCAACTGTGGAAGGACGAGAAGCACCCGTTCCCGAAAATTTCAGGTATATAATTAAGAAATGCTATTGATGATCAAGTAGTACCAGTGATACAGCACGCACGACGCCCGTCGATAGCACTGCTCGGTCGAGTCGAAGAAAAACTGTCCAGTCTCGAAATAATGGATATCATAGAACCTGTTTCAGAGTTTAGTCCATGGGTATCGCCATTGGTCGTTATAGTTAAAGATAACGGCGAATTGCGACTGTGCGTTGACATGCGCCAAGCTAACCGTGCAATTCAACGCGAGAGCTACATGATGCCAACATTTGAAGATTTTCTTCCATTGTTGCGTGAGGCTTGTTTCTTCAGTCGTCTAGACATTAAGGACGCATTTCATCAAGTAGAACTCGACGAGGCATCACGGTACATAACAACATTCATCACGCACAAAGGGCTATTCCGCTACAAGCGACTGATGTTCGGAGTATCCTGCGCTCCTGAAATATTTCAACGAGTTTTAGAACAAATCCTTTCGAGTTGTGAGAATGTTGTGAATTACCTTGATGATATTCTCATCTTTAGGAAAACGAAACAGGAGCACGACTTGGCGTTGCAGACGGTGCTAACCGTTTTGAAGGAAAAGAACGTTTTGTTGAATCATCAGAAATGCAAATTTATTGTGACTGAGGTGCAGTTCTTGGGACATCACCTTACGGCTGAGAGAATCAGACCGGTCGAAGACAAACTAACGGTGCTGAGATCCTTCAGAACTCCAGAGAGCGTTGAAGAATTGAGTTTTCTAGGACTTGCAAATTATGTCGGACGTTTTCTTCCAGATTTGGGTACCGTGACAGCTCCAATGCGAAGCTTGCTGCGTTCTAACACTAAGTATGAGTGGAAGCACCAGCATCAAATATCGTTTGATGCTCTGAAAGAAATGATATGTGATATACGTACATTGAGCTATTTTAACAACTCGTTGCGGACAAGACTAATCGTAGATGCTTCACCTGTTGCACTTGGAGCAGTACTTGTGCAATTTAGAAGTGTTGACGATGACTCCGAACCGTCCATCATCTCTTATGCCAGCAAACGTTTGTCAGACTCAGAAAAGAGATACTACCAAACAGAAAAGGAGGCGCTCGCCATAGTATGGGCAGTGGAACGGGTTTCAGTATACCTACTAGGACGTCGTTTTGAGCTTGAGACGGATCATAAGGCACTCGAAACCATTTTTTCCCCAACGTCCAAACCATGTGCCCGCATAGAAAGATGGGTACTGCGTCTCCAGGCATTCACCTTCGTCGTAAAATATAGGAAGGGCTCCAGCAATATCGCAGACCCTTTTACTCGATTGGTACAAAATGTTGGAAACGAAGAATTTGATGGAGACAGCAATTTCCTAGTGTTGACGATTGTTGGATCAGCAGCGATTGACACTAACGAGATTGAAGATGCGTCACGCAACGATTACGCGTTTGGGTTACTGCGTGATTGCCTGCAGACAGATATATGGAAGCAAACGGATGTCAAGTCGTATGAAGCGTTTAAACATGAGTTGGGATTTGTAGGTGATGTTCTCGTCAGGGGAACTAAACTTGTTGTACCTCAGAAGTTGCGTAAAAGAATGCTCGATCTGGCTCACGAAGGCCATCCTGGGGAAACAGTTATGAAAAAGAGGTTAAGAGAACGTGTGTGGTGGCCAGGTGTCGATAAGGAAGTCGTCCCATATGTTCAGAGGTGCGAAGGATGTCGTCTCGTCAGTTTGCCTGAAAGACCTGAGCCCATGCAACGACGCCAAATTCCTACAGACCCGTGGATAGATGTGGCGATCGACTTCCTAGGACCGATGCCCACAGGGGAATATTTGCTCGTTATTATAGACTACTACAGCAGATATAAAGAAGTTGAGATCATGACCCGAATCACAGCAAAGGATACCATAACTAAACTCAACCGAATCTTCACACGTTTAGGATATCCAGTTACAATAACACTCGACAACGCGCGTCAATTTGCTTCTGATGAGTTCGACCAATATTGTAAAGCACGCAGGATCACTCTCAACTTCACAACACCTTATTGGCCACAAGAAAACGGCTTAGTGGAACGACAAAATCGTTGCTGAAAAGGCTTCAGATCAGTCATGGACTGAAAAGAGATTGGAAAGCCGACCTTCAAGATTATTTAATGATGTATTACACCACCCCACATTCCATTACAGGGAAAACCCCTACTGAGTTGGTTTGTGGCCGAACAATACGATCAAAAATTCCATCTCTTTCAGATCTTCGGCATTGTCCGCGTTCTTTGGAAGTGTCTGACAGAGACCGTGTTCTAAAGGAAAGAGGAAGACAGACAGCAGATGCTTGCCGTAACGCAAAACAATCAACCCTGAAGCCTGGTGATACAGTTTTGATGAAAAACTTGTTACCAGGTAACAAACTTACACCGAACTTCGCAGCAACCGAGTACATTGTGGTTGCGAAGAATGGACCTCGTGTGACAGTGGAGGACAACACATCAGGTAAAACATACCTAAGAAACTCATCTCATCTAAAGCAGGTTGGTAGAAATATCGACGTGCCACAATCGCCTGACGGATCCCACGAGCAAGATATTGCTGATGCTGAAGCTCGGAAGCATCGAGACAAATATCCAGGATTACCAGATGCATTCAGAGACTTTACGTTGTGAGGTGATACTTCCGGTCTACAACAGAAAGGGAGATGTGGTAGCGGAGTTAATTTGCTAGCCCCTCGTTATGGTAACGGTGGATGGTAGCGACAGGAGGTAAGGAAGACAGAGAGTGAATGGCTATCAAAGAGAGAGTACACGTCGGTCTGAAGATTATTAATAAAGCTGAAGTTTGATAAGTCTAATTATCGTAATTTATTCTTATACGGGTCCGAAGTACTACAGCAATGATATTATAGATTTTTAACCAAATTATTTA